TTATTTCTCCTTTTTTTAAAACGGTATGTTTTCGTGACTCCTCATAATAGCTGCATGTCAGCACTCGACTTCCTATCTAGTCTAACGTGGCCTCGAACGGCATGCGGCTAATTCGGCTATTCGAATAATCATTTTCAAGATAATTTTATTTTTCCGAGTGCACGGACATTTTAGCGGACATAAAAGAGCTAGAAATACATACGGAAAGTTCCGTCAATTTTCGAGGCTGCGTATAAGAGATTTTTTTTTCTAAAAAGATATACATTCGACATTTCAATATGTTAAATACGTTTGACGAATCGATAAAATTATGAATAAAAGAATAAAATAATAAAAAAAAACCAGAATACAGTGTGCAAAAATCGAAAAGTTCGACTAATATTTTTTCAATTTTATTTCATAATTCTTTAATGTCTCAACATTAGAACAACATGCCGGTGCTTTGTTGAACAACAAAAGCTTGCAAATATGTATATCAAGATATGTGTAGAGTGTATTCCAAATCTAAGGTTCACGAGGTCTCGAGGTGTTTCATTAAGCTTCCATCCTCGCAATTGTTTTTAATGACTTCTCTCCTCAGATTAGAAGAGATATATCAAGTTTCATTTACTCATTCACACAGCAGCTTTAGCTTGAATAGCTGAAAGGGAGACCACATGGTTGATGACTTCACAGTTAATTGCGCAAATAAAAATACCAAAAATTCTAGTCACTAGTTTAAATTTGGCAATTGAAATATACATATATATTATCTAGTTCAAAGTGTTGCTACAGTTTAGTAAAGGCAATAAAGATTAAATAAGAATGAAGATTAAATATCATATATGAAATATTGGGTGGATCCATATATTCGTTCGGTTTTTGAAGGCTGAAATGAAACAAGTTTTTTTCATATAAAGGATGAATTTTAACCAATGATATATTCTTCGTTTTTGTTGATGACCTCTTGCCATCAACAAAAACGGAAAATATATCATTGATTAAAATTCATCCTTTGTATGAAAAAAACTTGTTTCATTTCAGCCTTAAAAAACCGAACAAATATATGGATCCACCCAATAATTTTAAAAAAGTCGATCAATAATAGCTCATCTATTAGACGTTCGAATCTAATGAAATTATTTCACGTCACTTCACCTTATAAATTTATCGTATCCGTAAATTTAGAAAATTCTCTTCCATGTAAAACTATTGTTTCCGAGTTTCGTCTCCCGCTAGCGCGCTGTTTACATGGCGTTTGAAACAAATTCCGTCGTTTCGAACGTTACGATCCCGTCGTCTCCTTCGATATCCAAAGTTCAACGAGGTCTGATCATATCAAACTCAATAACATCGTGCCGCGGAGTGTGAAAATATCGTATGTGAAAGATTCTCTTTCGTTTACATGCATACAGCCGCGAAACGAAAAAATATATAAAGCTGATATTTTCAAATTCCATTTATGATTATCGTCGAAAAAATATGAATAAGTTTATAATATCATAACAGTAATAATAGTGAATAGCAATAATAGTGAAACGTAATTGCAAACGAGCATCACTTTTTTTTGGTTAAAATTAGTTCCTTTTTTTTTTCTTTTACGCGATGATACCAAATTTACAAATACACGAGGCTCGACTCTTCTTTGACACAAGTATCGTATACGCACAGCGCTCATAAGTTTGAACGACAAGTCGGCTATTCATACCGACGTACCTCGTTTCTTTACCCCCCTCCCTCCCCTATTCATGGCTCTATCCCCCCGGCCTATCCTTTTACTTCTTTTTCCACATCGCACCGTAAACCTCCCCCGGCGCATTTAGGAAATAAGTCCCGCGTGCAAGAACACGCGGAGTACGGTGCTTTTAGGAGAGTGTTTCCAAGAGAGAAAGAGAGAGAGAGAGAGAGAGAGAGAGAGAGAGAGAGAGAGAGAGAGAG